CAGACTGAATAAGAATGGAGGTGAGTCCCTGGGTGGCGCAGACAGTTAAGTGCTTGTCTACTAGCCAAAAGGTTGACAGTTCGAGCCTGCCCAGAGGCGCCTCAGAAGATAGGCCTGGCGATCTGCTTCTGAAAGCGCACAGGCTTGAAAAACCCTATGGAGCACAGCTCTTTTCTGACGCACATTGGGTCACCGTGAGTTGGAATCGACTCAGCAGCAACTGACAACAACAGTACAGGGCCTTACAGACATGGAAGCAATATGCCCCCATGCCACAGAATGATCATTCACTGAAAGACCAGCTTGTAAGCTCATCAGCACCTGTTACCTCATTCTTTTTTATCTTCTTTTTAAGGTAATCACTCGCCATGTTGTTCCTCCCCTACCCCATACAGTGTGAGGACTTGGAGTGTCAACAAAGTTGGAAGGGAATACGTAAACACACCTTCTTTGGAAGTGGGCATATGGATGTTACATATTTGAAGCACAGGCCATATAGGTCTTAAAATCTAGCTGTTAGAAAATGATCAGATGAAAATATAATGGGTATAGGTGTGCATTGCTCCAAACTGTAGCGTTAACCAAATAACAAACTTAGTTATAATGATGACATTAAACTGTCAGTAATTTAGAATTAATAAACAAGAACAGCAGCCCGGAAAGACTATTACCATCTCAAAGCAACACAGATAACAAAGCAGCCTTTCTTGAAATCAGTTCAGACTAGGAGCCTTGCTTCATTGCCATCCAAGATGTGAAGCCGGAGTTCTTGGAGCAGTTTGGGGTGGACCAGTGAGTTGCAGACGATACTGACAGCATCACTAATTAGGAACACCTTCGTAAAGACAGAACTGTCACATACTGGAGGACACCAAGGAGACACGACAATTAAATGTAACGGGATCCAGGACTGGATCCTGAAACAGAAAAGACGATGGAAAAACGGCAAAATTTGAAGTGAGGTGTTAATTTCTTGGTTGTGGTGATTGTACTGTGATTATCGAAGATGTTGACATGAAGGGAAGCTGGGTGCGGAGTATATGGGGACGTTTTACTATTTTTGCCCCTTTTCTCTAAGTCTAAAATTATTTGAAAATAAGTTGAAAGAAGTGCTTTTTATCAGGTAAAGCGCGGATACTCTGCAGTAGCCTCGCATTCAAGAATATTTACAATCTTGCCTCAGCCAACCTCTTTAACTCTATACTTTTATGTTCTAGCCAAACTAAATTGTTGTTGTTAACTAGCCTGTTGGGGAGGTGGGAGGAGTAATAAATTTTTTGTATGTATTATAAAATATTTAAAACCAGTATAACAACCACCTTGCTTTAAGGAATAAAACATTACCAGTGCAGTTGAAATTCCCTGTATATACCCTTTCTTTATGCCACCCTACTTCTGCTGTCCCCTCCCACCACCACCATATAACTGCTGCCACTTGGAGATAGCCAGGATTGGAATTTGGTATTTGAAGTCCCTGGGTGGTGCAAATGGTTAACACGCTCAGCTGCTAACTGAAGGGTGGAGGTTTGAGTCCACCCAGAAGCACCTTGAAAAAAGGTCTGGCAGTCTACTTCCCAAAAATCAACCATTGAAAACCCTATGGAGAATATTTTACTCTGACACACATGAGTTTGCCATGAGTGAGAATCAACTCCACAGCAACTGGTTTAATTCCCATGCATTATTTTTCATTTTCCCAAACTTGGTATAAGTTATATCCTACAGTATCATATATACAGACTGCTTTTGTCACTCTACATGTATGTTTAATTCATTCCTTTTCTCTGCTGCATAGATTTCCATTGTACGAATACCCAGTATTTAGCTGTTCTCCCACCGGCAAACACACATTGAGGGCGTTTTCGTTTTATTTTGTGTGAGTGTTTGCTTTTCATTTTTAAGATACTTTCCGAGAACAAAAGTGTCTCTTCTCTCTCTGGTCTCCTGTAACACTATCTACAACGTTTAACTTAATATTTGTGTCCTTCCATTGTAATTTTAAAAGTGTTAAAATTTTTTTAAAGTGTTAACAAACAAAAATGTCACCTTGAAGACTAAGGTGCGCCTGACCCAAGCCCTGGTGTTTTCAATCACCTCATATGCATGTGAAAGCTGGGCGATGAATAAGGAAGACTGAGGAAGAATTAACACCTTTGAGTTGTGGTGTTGTCATAGAGTATTGAATATACCATGGACTGCAAAAGAATGAACAAATCTGTCTTGGAAGAAGTACAACCAGAATGCTCCTTAGAAGCAAGGGTGGCGAGATTACATCTCACATACTTTGGACACGTTGTCAGGAGGGATCAGTCCCTGGAGAAGGACATCATGCTTGGTAAAGCACAAGGTCAATGAAAAAGAGGAAGACCGTCTGCAAGATGGATTGATATAGTGGCTGCAACAGCAGGCTCAAGCATAACAACAATCGTGAGGATGGCACAGGACTGAGCAGTGTTTTGTTCTGTTGTACGTAAGGTCGCTATGAGTCGGAACCAACTCGACGGCACCTAACAAGCACAACATTGTAATTATTTTTCTTTTCACCCATATGTAGATGGAGGGCTTCTTGAGGGTCTAATTCCCCCAAGATGACTCTCAATTGGGTTAATAAGGATTTAATTTTGTTGATTGAATACATAAATATTTAAATGAATTCAACACTGTCTATAGACAGATCTTGGGGCATATTTGTGATTATTCCCTTAGTTGTTATGTGGTTACCTCCTGGGACTTTTCTTTGTTAGGAAGATTTATGTAGTATGGGGAACTGGTCATGGAGGTGGAAGAAGAGAGCATAAATAAAGTCTGCAGCTTTAATTTGAGAAATGACATGCTAAGTGTGCGGGCGACTCAGATACAGGTTTTTGTCTGCTTAAAAACATCCTGGGTAAAGTTTGATGAAATTAGTAATAATTTTACCTTCATTTGATGTTACAAACATAGGGGAGCTCACTAATTTATTACATGGAAAACTCTGCTTCTACGTCTCATTCATGGTAGAAAGCTCAGTATTTACTCTTGATCATTTAGAACTTGTACCTGGAATGGAATTGGCCAGATTTTTTTTTTTCCTGCAAAATTATTTCTTTCGGCTGTTGATCTTACTCTGCAAAAACACTTAACAGGTTTCACAGCTCTCTCACATAAGTCTTGTTTGAGTTCTGTAACAGCAGGGTCCGTATGGTCATCCATATCCTACAGGTTAGGAATTTGGAAAGTAAGTTGCGGGGAGGATGTTGGAAGACTTGTGCAAGGTCCCAGAAGAGAACCATAGGCCAGATCTTTCTATTTAGTCCCCTCTCTGCCCAAATATTACAACTTTAGTGCTTAAAGTGAGTGACAGTCTTAATTGAGAAGTTACTAGTTTGCTGATGTGTAATGGGTAATGGCATGTAATGCCCATTTGACAGTTCATCATAGTAATTTGGGGAGTTTCTCATCAGTGTTTGTGATAGATCAGTAACTCCTATTTGCTGTTCTCTTGGTTAGAAGGGTTCACAAACAAGCTTAAACTGAATGTTGCAAAAGAGCATGTCGTGACTGGTGTGTATTTTAAAGAAAAGAACATCTTACAAATAAAACTGATGGGAAGGTGTAACATAAAATCTCTGAGAAGACAAGTGGCTTTTTGATAGCTGGAGCCCTACAGATGAATTAAAACCTCTCTGCGCAGAGACTGGTGCAGTTGATGGCTCAAATTGCAGTTTTAAACAATGCAGAAGCAGTACACTTAGAATATTGTCTTCACGTCAGAAATGCACCTTCATGCTTGAAAACGATAAAAAATTACCATCGATCCTTACAACTGTTCTGTTCATCTTTATTGATCAGGTGCAAGAAAGATAAATCGCAGCCCAAATAAGATTATAGTATATGTTAGCGTCGTAGGGGACTCTGGGTTGATGGAGAGCCATTCATCATTTCAAATGGTGATCTGTCCTTGGCTCCAGCCACCCTGAGCCTGCCGTCTAATCACATACCTATTGATTTTATCTACATCCAAGAAATCTGGATGTGACTGTCATTGTGCAACCCAGATTGTTAAATGCAAGGGGGTCACTGGTGTGAAGAGGATTTCATTTTCATTTTCTTACCAACCAACAATGATTTATTAAAAAATAAACTACCCCAAGCCATGTGTGTGAAACCTGAGTGATTGGGGGTAAGGGTGTACAAAAGACCACTGTGTTGCGTGACCGGTTCACTTTGTTCCTTTTGTTCTGCAGTGTATTGTGCAGGATATTTCATTAGAGTCTGAGGGCCCACGGGATCCTTTAGGGCCCCCACCCCCTTGCAATAAGACAGGTTTCAGAGTAGCCAGCCAGAATGGATAGTTTTTAAGTTGGCTGCCCCGAGAATGGCATTACTTTGCTATTGCTGCCTGGTTTGTGTTGCTTATGTGTTCATTCATTCATGTAATAGAAACATTATTTTTTTGTTAAATAAAAATTGCCTTGGTACATTCCCTTATTCTCACTGATTAATTTGTCATAAATGTTGTCGCTCTTGTGGTCGTGTGGATGACCACAGTTTGGTGAGTGACAAATTCTACTCCATAAAGAATCCCTCTTGAGGACAAAAATGTTGCACAGAAATGGTCCTTTGGTATCGAGTCGGAACCCTGACGGAGTAGTGGGCAAATGTGAATGATGGCTGTGAATTTCACTATTCAAGCACAAGTGTTCTTTGAGTTCACAGTGGTAAGATTCCAAACGAGGGAGATCTAAATAGTCTTTCAAAAATATATGGTAGGAACATTCTCCGAAGGATCGAATAATGATGAGTTATAACTATGAAAGTTTAATTTGTAATTATAACCTATATGCCAGCAACTGTACTGTATACAAATCCATTTTTTACATGTATTTTCATAGGTATCCCAGTCCTACTACTGCTTGGGTGGCCAAAACAAGACTTCATGTATTTTTTTAGAAATTGTAAGTCTTGCACCCAATGTAGTCCTCGTGGGTAGTGAAACCTCTCTCACTTTTTGTCCCCAGAGCGCAGAGTTCTACAAAGTCACCACTGAGCAATATCAGAAAGCCACTGAAGAGGTGGAAGCAAAGTTCAAGTAAGTTTTTCACAGTATTACCATTATTTACTATTGTTGATGAGATGAAAGTATGATTTTATTGTTTTTTGGCCAGAAGATAGTTGGTTACAGCACTCTGGAATACTTGGAAGTGTGTTTGGGTGGTAGAGGGGAGTCATGTTTTCTGCTGTAGTGAAATTCAAATCCAAGGAAAGGGCATTTCATGAGAGCTTGTTGCAGCTCAGTCTGTTTTGTGTACTAAGGGGAAATTGAAAGCTATGGTAATAGAGTTTTCATTTGGAATAATATATAAGGTAGGATGCTCTTGATTATGAAGGTGATGTTAAATTTTTTCCTCTGTTAATGGAAACATAGAAACTATTCACTTTTGTATAATAAAATGATGGGCATGTCCAAATTTGGGTATCTGCCTTTTTCATGTTTAAACTGTTTTCATTTCTTCACATGTACCTTGAAAGCATTTAAATCACAGACTTTACCTTGCCCTTGATTATAAAGGCAATGTTAAATTGCTACCTCTGTTAATCCTTGGGATGTTTAAATGAATGTTCTGTATTTGATGGATCAAAGTGTCTGTGACCCCTGGCCCTGTACTTTCCCTCCACTGCCAGTTCTCACATTAGGTAAGAAGACGTCATTCAGAATTCTCCTGAGTGTATAAACAGTCCCATTGTGTAACCCCTGTTGGTAGCACACGTGTAAATTACTGAAGCAAAAAAAAGGTGTTGTGAGAGGTTTAGTTGAAAGATTGCATTGGATTCTGACCTCCTTCCTTATGCATGTTCATAAGCGTTTGATAAAATGATTAAACGTCAAGGTGGAGTCATTACTTTCTGCTGGAGTGCAATTTGTGTAGTAATGGATATTAGTGTTATTTTAATGTCAATTTAAAAAAAAAAAAGTTTTTGTAATGACTGCTTGAGGTGTATTTAAACAAACAAGAACCTCCAGTATTCCTAAGTAGATTTTCTCTTTAGGGACGGGAGAGAGAGACCCTCTAAGAACGGGCCACATAGCTCGCTCTTAAAAGTAAATGTGAGGTCTTAATTTAGATATAGAGTTGGGTATATATCTGATTTATAAAGGTATTCTGTGTATTCTTTTTAGGTTTTGTATTTATCTTTTCCCCTAACTATGAAGCAACATTTCTTAACTCTTTTATCTCAATACTGTGAAAAGCTTTGAATTGACACCCTGGGCATTTCTTTATGATAAGATGTTAACTATACAAATAACTAAAACTCAAGGCGAACCAAAGAAGATCATTTCTGACTAGAATGATCTATAAAATCTTCCAAATGAGATACATTTTAGTTGAGGCTTGAAAAAGAATATTCAGTAGGTGGAAGGTATTCAGAAGGAAATCATACTGCACAGTTGGTGGGCGACTAGTTAAGATCAGTGGTTTGATTGAGAGTAATGCAAGGTAAAGCTGGAAGAGTAAACTGGGTCATTAGCTGCTGGGCTAAGAAGTTTGGTCTTTGTTTATCAGGAAGACCACTGCAAGTTGTTTGACCAAGTGAGTACCCTGATTTCCATGCTTCTGTGGAAATATTAGTCTAACAGAGGATGCAATGTTTGATTGGAGGCGTGAGAAAGAAGAACCAGATAGGAGGTCTCTTCAAGTGAAAGAGAAAAGAAAGAGATGGGTGCAAGAAAGGCACTGAAGGAAGATTTGACATGAAGTAGTGATTGTTTGGATAACAGGGGCAAAGGAGAACCAGAAATAGGAGCTTAGCAAATCAGGAAATTGGAGCAAGCTGATTTTATAGAGATTAGTCTGATTTTAGATGAGAAGATTAGTCTGTGGAAATCCTGCCCAGCTGCCATGTCATTCAGCCCGGGCTGGCCTGCTGGAGAACGAGAAGCCACATGGAGCACAAAAATCAATGTCCTGGTGACTTACCTTCTAAAGGACACCGTGGAACTATAGGTTAGGCTTAGTTTTAAACAGAACCTCAGTGGCATCGTTCTCTCTTATTTTTTAAAGATATTATTCTTTATAAGATCTAGCTTTCATCTGGCTAAGCTGTAGTAAAGAATTTGGCCTTGCCCAAAGAGAGGTCTATCTTTATCTCTGCTCCTGGAAGGTAACCTCTAACCCTTGGAAATTTCCGAGCGGTAGGAATGTCTTTGTTATTCCTGGGAGCCCCTGAAACCACACCTGGTATAGTCGGCCTCTCATAGAGGTATCAGCCTGATCTTTAGGGGCTGGGGGCTGGAGACTGAGTTCAACCACTTGGGTAATCAATCGTGCCTACATATTGAAGCCCCGGTAAAAACTCTGGACACTGAGCTTCATGAGCTTCCCTGGTTTTGGCAACACTCTGTGCTTATTGTCACGCATACGTCGATGCCAAGGGATAACGTGTCCTGAGGACAATGGAAGCTTCCTGTTGGGAACTCTTCCAGACTCTGATGTATGTGTCTCTTTGCCTGTGCCCTTTCCCTCCAGTAAGCCAGAATTGTGAGTATAATAGCTTTCAGCAAGTTCTGTGAGTGCTTCTAGCGAATTGTCAAACCTGACATCATTTTTGGAATGCCCTGAGCTTGGAGTTGGTGTCAGAAGTGAGGTCAGACTTGAGGACTGTCCCCTCAGACTTTGCATTTGGGCTAACTCCAGGTATAAACAAAAACCCAGGTTTTACACACTGTGAAGGAATCTCAAGAGTTAGTGTTTTGGAGAATGGCTTTCCTTACATCTTTTTTTTCCCCAGCTGTTACCTGATAGATTGAGCTTCCTAGAATGTCGTATTTTGGTTTCCAGTTAGTTCACTAGCTTCACACCTAAGAAGTGTGGTGTACTGGCTTTAGGAGATGCTTGCCATCTTCAAAGGCACAGAGATTACTTAGTGGTAACCCTATTTCTCCTTAGAAATTTGGCCATCCCAGATCGCCATGACCCTTCAGTCTTGTGCAAGGTTGTATGCTATATTCTTATACAACAGAGCTTCCTGGCCTGGCCAAATTACTCCACTGGCCCCTGTCTGTCTGACCAGCTTAGCACCTGCAGGCTTCACCCGGAAGACTTCTGACCACCTAGAACGTGAGCTCACCAGTTCTCTTAGGCAACAAGCTCTGAAGGACTTTGAAGACTGTTTAGTTAATTTTATTTGATGGAAGTAATATCCATCTTGGCTGTAGGGGATAGAAGCTTTTTAAATTGCAATTCAAGGGCAATATTATACACCTGATGGGAAGTCACACAAAATCATTGTAAATAGAAAGAAAGCTAAGAGCATGTGAGGCTGCACACGATTAACACCAGTCGCACTGATGCTAATGGAATTATTTTCGGGATGCTTAAGAGCTGGGCTGCTAACCAAAAGGTCAGCATTTCGATTTCACCAGCCACTCCTTGGAAACCCTGTGGGGGCAGTTCTACTCCTATAGGGTCACTATGAGTCGGAACCAACTCGACGGCACATAGCAACAACAAATATTAACTCACACCTCGGTCCCTCAATTTATAGTTTTGGTAGTAAACCATTAGAGTACTTTAGAAGGGTTTTTGTCCTCCTATTTTGTCAGCATTTCATTCAGTCATACAGCTCCTGTGTGACATGCCCTCTGTTATGCTGTGACTATACAGCTGTAAAGAAGATAGCCAGAGTGTTGCTAGCATGGGACTCAGAGTGCCTCAGAGACGACCAAGAGGAAAACAGAATTTTCAAATGAAGAGATGTTTTTAAATCCTAAGTTTTGCTATAATGAGATAGTTCAGCCCCTAATAAATATCAAGTTATTTAAAAATAATATTATATACTATTACTTCTGTGAGAATTAAGGGATTTTGAGACAGAGAATTTGTGATGTTGTTTATTTTCCTGCAAGAAGTTTTTTTCCCATAATAGCTATAACATTTTAGCTATAAAACCTAAATCACTGAGAAAAAAACCTAAATCACTGAGAAAATCCAGTATTTGTTTTTTTTTTTTTTTTTACATCTGGCTTTTCTTTAAGAGAAATTGCATTTCTTTTCCCAATCCAGCTAAAACAATCATGATCAGCACTTCCTATCACCTTTATCACCCATTGTTATTATTTGTTAAATAGAGCAACAGCCTTTTACTTATTGTGGTTAGTTCGTAGTTATATGATGCTAAAAAAAAAAAAAAAATCCATTGCCGTCGAGTCAATTCCTTCTCATAGCGACCCTGTAGGACAGAGTGGAATTGCCCCATAGGGATTCCAAGGAGTAGCTGGTGGATTCAAACTGCCGACCTTCTAGTTAGCAGCCGTTCACTTAACCACTGCGCCACCAGGGCTCCTGTATGATGCTAGTACCAAGTTATATAGCTCAGCTGAATGAAAATCATGTTTCTTAATTAATCAATCCTTTTATATTCTCCCATGGGGCATACAAGTAACTTTTCCCAAAGAATTTGATATTTATCCCTGGTTCCTGGGAGATAATCTCTAAACCTTTGCAATTTCCCCAGTGATTGAAGTCTTTGTTATTAATGGAGGGGCTCCAGACCATACCTACCTGAGGGTTAATGCCAGTGAATTGACTCATGTTGAGTGGGGACTGGCCATGCCAGAAAGACCCCCTAGATGATATTAGCCCAGCCACAGAGGAGGGCTGGAGATTAAGTTCAACCACACAGGCAATGATTCAGTCAATCATGCCAGTAAAATCTCTGGACACTAAAGCTCAGGTGAGCTTCCTGGTTGGTGAAAGACATTGATGTCTCTTCACTTGTATACTTTTTGCTGTAACAAAACTTAATTGTAAGTATATGGCTTTCCTGAGTTCTGTGAGTCGTTCTAGCAAATTATTGAAACCAGGTTGGTAGTGGGAACCCCTGAGTTTGTAGCCAGCAGATCAGAAGTGAGGGGTTCCTGGGGCTCGCGCTGGTGTCTGAAGGCATGAGCAAACTTGGCTTCTAGAAGACTCTGCCCTTTAACTTGTGAGATCCATTCTGCCTCTGGTGGGTAGGGTCAGAGGAAAAAGTGCATAGGCAGTTCGTGTCAAAAATGAGATTTAGAGCTGGTATTGTAAGATGATGACACAC